AGAAACTCCTGTAAAAAACATTAAAAATCGTTCTGATCCCAAACTTTTGACCGGTAGTGTATATATATACACACACACACAAACACACGCACACAAATTGTTATTATTGTGCAATAATGCATGCAATTTAAACTCATATTATTCTGATGATGATGATGATATTAATAATAATAATAATAATACCTAATAATAATAATAATACCTGATAAGAATAATTAATTTTCTGTTTTTGTTTCAACATCCATGACATAATTGGGCCATACTACAAAGCATGCAATAAAAAAATCCGCATAACGGTAAATTTAATGTGCATCTTTAAAAATGGAAGATGACAACGATGATATTTCAGCTTCTAAGCAATAAGAAGCGCTCTATCACTATTAAGCACTAAGGACGTACTTACCTTAGAAAATGCTTCATCGCGATTGTCTGCTTTGCTACAAGTGTAACTCACATTCACGAATGGTCTGACCACCTGCACAAAACATAATTCAAAATGAAAACTACAGTGTATCTTTATTTAATCGTTGTATTGCATTCAACCGTCTTGAATACCAATTGCGATAATGTCTCGAGGTCGTCAGCAGTGTGGCGTTAGGCGGATTAAGACGTTGCCGTGGGCAACTGCTTCAACGACCAACCCATGGTCTACATCCATGTTCACATATTTAATGTCTGCTGCGTTATTTCATGACAAATGAGCCGTTTATAATACATTCAGATAGCATGGGTTATATAATACTGACAATCGGAGTCATTTATCGTCGAGACTATTTCATCTTGCAATAGGTGTTCTTCTGCGCTCTTCTCTATTCTATACCACACATGGTCGCGTGAAAACAGCGTATCAAATAATACATCAGTGTATCTGATAAAAGATAAATAAATGACAAGAACATACGTTTCAAGATGTCGCTGGGAATGGAAATAAGCCTGTCCTCCTCTCTCTGTAAAGCAGGTACCTGTTATTCCTCCATGATGAGCATGTGAATTAGGGAGATGTCGCTGAAATAAGCCTGTCCTCCTCTCTCTGTAAAGCAGGTACCTGTTATTCCTCCATGATGAGCAATGAGCATAGGGAGGGCGGTCGCTTCGGAGCATCGCAATGCAGCGCTGCTGTGCCGCACGGCGAAGAAAGACCCCAGAAGACCTCTCACTCCTTTACATACAGACAAAACTCATATATATATATATATATATATATTCTATAGAATTGTTTTTCCATCATTTGGTATTTACAGGTATGTATTTGCTTTTCTAGAATCAGGGTTATCAGGGTTCCATAAAGATATTCGGTGGTCCTCATTCAAGGGGCCTCAATAAACTTCCAAGGGGGTACCAGGGGTACCAGCTATTATTGAAATTAATAAATTATTAATATATCAAAACAATCTAAATTGAAATGCTAAAAACTCTCCAACACAATAAAATTGTTTCGAAAATTATTATAATAACATTCATTTCTTGAAACTTCTGGAATAACAAAATATATCAATACATAAACAATCAGTTTTGTCATTAAGCAAAAGTATCAACAATGTAGCCTTCAAATATTGTGTCAGAAAACAGAGGGTCTTTGTCACATAAAAAAAAATTGAGAACTACTGCTCCAGTGGGACCACAGATAAAACCTATACACTTAATTATATAATTTATATTCTTGGAATTTTATAAATATTAGACATAACTTTATCATTTTTTTTGAAAAATCTTCTGATGGCAGTCACTGGGTTGGCTGAGAGTCTGGGTGAAGCGTTTGTGAGTCTTTAACGGTTGAAATCTGTTCTATAAGCCATAAATGTTTTAATGTAAAACCAGGTTAGTATATTTGACAGACACTACTATAGATTAACTATGAATAATAAAACCACTTTAATGGTCACAAATAATAATTTTCAAAAAAAATTTGGATAATTTAAACAAAATAAACATATAAAAGCAGATGCAATACTAATAATAAATGTAACAAGTTGAATATGAAAAGCTGAATACATCCATCATTTCATCTAAAGTTATTTTTGATCTACAGTTTTGTAGTTATTTCTTAACTCAAATAAAAATAACAAGTGTTAGTTAAAGAATGTTACAAAGATAAAGAATGTTAATATAAGTAATCATACCGGAAGCAGCATCTCATATGGAATTGAGATGTTAGCACCTCTTAAGGTAATACTGTCCAGATCATTGTAGTGCATGATGACAACTTTCTGCATTTTTTTTTTATGTATCTGAACTTCAGTCTCAGCAGAT